GCGGTCTGCCCGCAGGAGGATGGAGGAGGAGGGCTGGCTGGGGATGGGCGCAGCGCTGCTCACGGGCAGAATCTGACCAGCCCCAGCCTGGAGGGGGGAGATGGCAGCGTTTGGGAGGGGGTGTAGCTGCTCCTTACCCCCAAGCCATCAGCTGAGCAAGACGCCCTCCTGCCCACTGCCCCACCCGCCAGAGACCCCCTGGATCTACCCCTCCCTGGCCCCCACAGGCATCCCTTCCCAGGAGCAACATCGAGCTGGCCATGCCCACCCTGGCCACGCCCACCCAGTCTGCCATGATCACTGTAGCCACGCCCACCCGCCTCCCGGCGATACATAAGTGGGTTTTGGGTTGCAGTTTGGGTACTCGGTCTCTAAAAGGTTCGCCACCACTGACCTAGCTAATCTGCTATGGAATCATTCTCTGATTTCTAGGTGCAGCTTCTGTTATGTAGTCCTAGTTTGGCTACAAAGTAAACAGGAAGTCCAGCTTCTGGGGCCACTTTTTTCTTTATCGAACGTGTTCATCAATCAGACAGATTTTGAAACATGAGAATTGACCATACTGCCTTGATTTAATAAGATAATGGAAAGTATAATATAAAAGAAAGGACTTGATTCTGTAGCCTGTGTAGCAAAGAATTCCTTCCCAATGGCTGCTGCTCCCAGGAAAACTCTGGCTTTCTATTATTTATCATCCGTCAATATGTTTTTAAGCTGTGAAATATCCTTTGGAAAATGAGAACCTAGAACATTTTATTGTTCACCTCTGAAACTGATACATAGGACACGAAGCTACAGTGCAGATGAAATATGGCAAATAGCTTGGCTTCAAATCAGCAAAGAAGTGAGACAAGTCTCTATTTATTATCGCCTTTCCTATTCAATCTATATGCTGAATATACAGTGGGAGAGGCTGGACTGGGAGAAGATGAACATAATTTTAAAATTTTAGATGCCATTATGTGTCTGTACTTGCACTGGCAATGATTTTCCTGTGACACTGTATTCTATGAAGAACAAGAAAACAAAATCATCATTGAATCAATCAATCAATCCAGAATTTTACCTTGAGACACAAATGTACAGAATTAAAATATTCTATTCTGCACACATTATGTGAACACCCAACTCCCTGGAGAAGTCCATAGAGAAGTGGAAGGAAACAGAAGGCCACCAGCAGCAAGGTGAATGGACTCAATTACAATGATGCTGGGTGAACTGTTGAATGACCTAGGGGCAAGATTGGGTACAAATCATCCTGGAGAACAAGCAAAACAAACTTGATGGCACATAACCAATTATAGCTCCTGCACTGATTATCTTAACAATTGTGTTTTTAGTTCATTCAACTGATATTGTTCAAGAAGCACCAGCAACGAATTAGAAGCTTTATTTATAAGTTGTCTGCCACTGGTCATCCATACTTGTGCCCCCAAGATGAAGCCATAGGATAAATATTATTCAAAAGCTATATTTTGAAATCTTTTTTTTTAAAAAAAAGCTTTTTAAAGCAAAATGCTTTAAAACATTTTGAAAGCCACTTCTTTTTATACTATTACAAGTCTAATATTTACTTAGACATGTCAAACACAAAGCCCAGGGGCCAGATGCGGCCCACGAGGTGGTTTCATGTGGCCCACGAAGCCATCCTGGAAACAGTGAGGGAACGGCCCCCGCTGCCTTGGCCCTGGCCCAGGCCAGCCAGGAGCCAATGTACAATTTTGTGGTGGCCATCTATGCTGAAACGCATTCAGTCTTAGCTTCACAAGGCTGTCTGGAAACAGCGAGGAACCAGCCCCTGCCGCATCGGCCCCGCCCCCTGGGTGCATGCTGGGGAGGTGTCACCCTTTGTGAGGAATGAAGAAATGCACCATCGCTTAGAAGTGGCCAGCTAATGGCCCTCGTTTACTTCACATATCCGGCTTGATGGGCTCTGGGGGAGGGGTTTTGGCAGGCAGCGGGGCACTCTCCTCAGCGCTGAGAGGCTGAGCCGGACAGTGCGAATCCAAAAAGAAGTGCAAGGCCGCCCAGCCCCCAGCCTGCCCGGTTTTGGGGTGGGGCGCTCTCCTCACAGCGCCAAGAGCTGAGCTGGATGGCACAAATCTGATGAGAAATACAATGCTGCCCAGCCCCCAGCCTGCCCAGTTTCAGCAGGGAGCAAGGTGTAAAGCTGGCGAGCTTTGCACCTCCTGGCTCAGCCTCTCAGCTCTGTGAGGAGAGCACCCCGCTGCCTGCTGAAACCAGGCAGGCTGGAGGCTGGACGGCCTCATGCTTGTTTTCGGATTCGCGCCATCTGGCTCAGCCTCTCGGCGCTGTGAGGAGAGCGCCCCGCTGCCTGCTGAAACCGGGCAGGCTGGGGGCTGGGCGGCATTGCGCAGGTAACGTTGACTCTCACGCTGCTCATGGCATCCCCTCCCCCAGAGCCCACCAAGCCAGATATGTGAAGTAGGTGAGGGCCATGTGCTGGCCACTTCTAGGCGATGGTGCATTTCTTCATTCCTCACAAACGGTGACACCTCCCCAGCTGCATTTCTTGCCTTTTTTTCTCCCTCCCTCATCTCAAATATTTTCCCACCACTCTGTACTTAGGAAGGAAGGAAGGAAAGAAGGAGAGGGAGGGTCTGAGGGAAGTCCTGCCTTAGTCCTGCCCTGCTGCCCTTTCACCATCCCCTTGACCCCTCCTCCTGGCCTATCCTGGGGTCTCCCATCCTATTGCTAAGGAAGCTTTGGATACAAAGCCGGCTCTCCCATAGAGAGGGAATAGGCCTCCCTCTGACTTTGCCCTTGTACCTATCATGAACAACCTGGCTAAGGAGAGCAAGCACAGCAGCAGCCTTGAGGAGGTAAGTGCAGCTATGTGCCCCTTGGGGAAGTGGGGCTTGGCTTGGTGCCGCAGGTGCTCAAGGTGAGCTGGCCACGCCCACCCAGTAGGCCACACCTACTCCACACCCACCCAGTAGGTCGCACCCACCCTGGCCACACCCACCCGGCCCCCTGAGGGCAACCGCAATGCTGATGCAGCCCTCAATGAAATTGAGTTTGACACCCGACTTAGATACTATGTTTCCTATTTATCAAATTTTGTTAATATATAATCCAAGATAACACTTCTTTCATATCATAAAATATTTTTTAAAAAATTATTTTACTGTCTATTTATTTAAGAAGAAAGAGAAAGAAAGAGGAAATTGTTTTAACATTATTCATGTTATGGTTTTTTCCTTGTTCCAAGTTCCTTGATAGCATATTGCCATGAAAGAACATAAGTTTTTTTTGGCAAGTTAAGCTTGATTTGGACTTCTCGGTAAGTGGGCATAGGCATCAACACATACCTACAAAGGGGTTGATGGGCAAGTGTAGATGGTTGCAGATGGGCCGACATGCACACCTCCCAAATCTCAACTATGTATTGTGTGGAGATATGTGTCTTGCCTGCAGATTGGTTGATTTGACTTCCTGCTGTATTGTTTGAGTGTCCCTTAAATCAGGCTTTTCAACCTTTTCACCCATTGTACCACTTTTAGGATATGGCAATATCCGAATACCACCAGTCACCTAGCAAGGTGTCAAAAACTTGATGACCAAAAAAAAAAAAAAGGAAAAAAAGTGATAAAGTACATGTAGTCCTCGACTTACAACAGTTCGCTTAATGACTGTTCGAAGTTATAATGGCACTGAAAAAAGTGCCCCCCAAGCCACAGCCGAGCAAGACACCTGCCTGCCCACCCAGCGGCGCTCTTCCTCCTTTTCGAGGTTTTCATTGTTGTGAGCATTTCTGTTGGGGATTGGCAGCGGAGGTGGGGTGGGGGCTGTTTGGTTTTTATTCCACCCATCTGCTGGGTGGTTGTAGCAGGTTTTGATCACTTCACATGACCCTGGGACACTGTGACCGTCATAAATATGGATCAGTTGCCAAGCATCTGAATGTAAATCACAAGACCCTGGAGATGCTGCAACATTCCAGCTGATCGGCACTTCTTCTGGGCTCAGCAAAAGTGCCAGGATCAGCGCCGAGCTCCAGGCTTGTGCGGTGCTGCCACCGGTTCAGCTCATTCCCCTCCCCCACTACCACTTTTCTAGGTTGGTCGCGTACCACCTGCCAGGTGCCAGTGTACCACAGGTGGTACCCGTACCACTGGTTGAAAAGCCCTGCCTTAAATGTTAACATTTGCAGAAGCATAAGTGCAACAACTTTGCAATCATTTCCAAATAACACATACCGTATGTTCCCTGACATGCAGTGACACAGAAGTCTAACACAGCCTTCAGCTGTCAGTTTCTTCTTCCCAGAATTGTCATTTCATTGTTCTATATAACCAAATGCTTTTCTGTATTTGAAATATTCTCATCCAAATTGAATTATGCAAGTGATACTTCCTCTTTCACAGAATGACAGCAAGAGGATCTTTAAGAGATGAAATCATTTTTACAGGTATTGTACTGACTGATAGATTTCTGATCTCAATTCAAAGTGCCAGATATAAATTCCTAAATACCATGGTAACCAACCACATCAAAAGATACAGCCTGTGCAGCTGGATTATCCAGAGCCCCTGCTTAAGATCCCAGCCTGACATAAGGTGCATTCGAGGAAGCAGGCCTTCTCAGTTGTATCCCTGATGATATATATATTGCTCCTGGTCCTCAGATGCTAAATACATACATTGGTGGATTTTCATTTATTTCACACTTAGTGACAATAGAAACAGGCTACTTGATTTTATGTGGTTTTCTTGTTAGTTATTGCAGTTTTGGATAGAGTTTATCACACAGACTCATTTGACTAGGGTATCATGAAAATGATAATAAATAAGATAAATTATGGAATTGTGCTGGAGAGAGGAAACAAAAAAAGATTTTGGGTTTCATCTCTGTTTCTTAAAATCATATATGAAGCTTAATCAAAAATAAGTGTCTATTTTAATTTCCTCACAAATGGATTTATAATGCACCACTCAGAAGAAAATAAAACTGGACAATGAATTTGAATCAATTTTATTTTGTATTTACGGTTTCTCAACAACCAATATCATTATCTGTAAACAAACTACATTAAAATGTTTTGCTGCTAAGCAGACGTCAGTAATTTATGCACATGAGTAAAAATTTTGCTTACTATCAAGCATATTTTAAAAATGGACAAGCAAAATATAATACTGATTCAGTCTAAGCTGAAGCACCAGGCAAACACTGATTTAATTCTAAATTTAATATAGGAAGGGATCAAACTAGATCTGTTATCCAGTTTGTGACAGTTTATTTAAATTGCAATATATTTTAAAAGCATAAATATGTAATTAACGATTCCAAAAATGTAGTTATGCAGACACAAAAAATGTTATGATCAAGCAAGTTCAGAAATCTCAGACCTCAAAATCAGCCACCTATAAACCTAAATTTTATCCCCTTTTTCCAGTTGTAAACACTTTTGCTAAACAGGTTATTTTTGACATTAAAAGTTATACAATCAATATGGCAGAATTATTGTTAAAAACATATGTACAAATATTACTCCGTGTCCTTGTTCCCCCAATTACATAAAGTATTTGGCATAATTATAACAATCTTACTGCATACACAGCCATTTGCTTTCCTCCCCCAAACATAATTGTTCTTATTAAAATTAACCAGTTATGTACAAAAATACTTGAACATTTATTATATAAAACTTCTATAGCTACCATTAACAGCATATACCTGCTGAGGGTTTCCCATTGAGGGAATAAAGTGGTCAATAATATTCCAGTTAAGCTATTAATAAAGTAAACTGATAAAATCAACACAAGTTTCCCAACAAAACAGGGAGGTAACTTTAATGGTATGATTTAATTTTGTGGTGGGGAGGGAGAAATAAGAAAGAAAAATTGCCTATATGCTTGTTTTTATGTTTAGTTTATACAATTATAGAACTAAGTATGAGCTTTCAAAACATAGGAGCTTTCTAGCAAAATGCCAATTAGGGCTCCATATGAGATGAGTAAAAGCACTTTCAGAAAAAACATTTTGCAGGATTGGGGCTGAAATCTGGATTACTTTTAGTTGCCAACAAATTTTCTGTTTGTGCCCTAAAAAGTTCTCTCTTCCCACCATCTAAACCACTATCCCGTAAATTACTTATTTACTCCACATTTTTGCAGTGGAATATACAGCAATAGAATGGAAGAACTTCCATTCAGAAACTTTATATATAATAAAAAAAAGTCTGAATCTTGTCTTTAAAAATTTGCTGCTTCAATTAATTCTACTTGTAAATAGCCTCATTCTCTTGAACATTTGCTTGCACTCAATTGCTTTCAGCGTTTTCATCTTTGAGTCTGACAGTGGTTTTTTTTCTTGATTCACAATTAAAATAATGTATTCATTTTGGCCATTAAAATAATCCGCAGAGTCAGTTTCTGTGTCTGAAATCATGTCTATTTAAAAAAATAACTTTATATATTGTTACATTTTCTATAATACAATCATTATTAACGTTTATTATCTTCAGGGAAGTGTAAATTGCACCTATCTAAAATAAAATAAAATGGGAGGGGGAAAATTCTACAAGTATGTAAACTAACCATTATCAGAATGCTAGAAAAAAGATCTCTAAGAGACAAGTATACATACAAATATTGAATAAGACGCAGTAACATGACAGTAGAAAGAAAGCAACCCAAACATTTTTTTCTGGAAATTCAGCTACAACATCCTTGTAATAGGGTCTTTTCCAGTGCAATGTGATCACAAACCACAAGAGCTTTATTGGATTCATTAACTTCAAACCAAATTTTATTCTATCAGAAAGTACATTGCGCTAATATGAGGCTGTCAAGGGGAAGTATGCTTTGATATTGTTTGAACAGTTAGGCTCCAGGTTTGAATTTAAATGCAGAATCACATTTGCTGTATGCTATGCTAAATATAGTATTTTCAGTCTCATTCTCTCTAGGTTCTGGCTTTTTAAGCTAGTACTTAAAATTAAGTACTTAAAGTTAAGCAGTTTTTAAAAATCACCAGAAAGAAAATTTGTGACAAATATTAAAGTGCCTATATTAGATATGTTTTTCATTTAAAACATTCAAAAAATGACTTTTTGACTTTTATTTATAACTGAGAGACTTTCCGTGGAAGAGGCTTAGGTCGAGGGACCTGTTCCATTCTCTTGCTGCTATTCTCCAAATTGCTTGGTCTGACCAACAAAGGTTTTGGAGGTAACACTGGTGGATCTGTAGGAATGGGAATGGAAAGGCTGTGAGGTAGTGGGACAGGACGCCTCAGAGTCCTCTCATAAACACTATAAGGCGGAGGAGTCTTGTTCTCTTTTCTTATTAGCTCTTCGGAAATGTTGCAATTAGAAAGAGGAACTGGATGTTCATTGATGTGACTTTCAAAACCAGATGTTTCAGATGTGCTACATCGACTAAGTGAAGAAATGCCACTGCTGTAACTTCCAGACAAGACTGGAGAGTTGGAAATGAGCCCTGACGAATGGTAGTCCATAGGAGATGGTGAAAATGATTGTACAGAACCCTGCGTTTAGAAAAGAAAAAATTAGTCTGGAAATAGAAAGAAGGGACTAAGAGGGAAAAGTAGAGGAACATGCCTTTACATTAGTTATTGTCCATGTTATTATAACAATATTTATTGTTATAACATAACAGTTTTGTGGCTTGAACATCAAAAACTGAATGGTGCTCATTCATTGATACTATAAAACCTTGAATTACTGTGGTTTGTATCTACTTTTAAATTACAATCTCCCATCTATATTTGTGTTATTTATTATATCAGACCACAGAAAGCTAATATAGTAGACAAGTGAACTATGCAATATTGGTGGTGCCTTCAAGAGAAAGAGAGGGAAAGGGAGAAAGAAAGAAAGAAAGAAAGAAAGAAAGAAAGAAAGAAAGAAAGAAAGAAAGAAAGAAAGAAAGAAAGAAAGAAAAAGAAAGAAAGAAAGAAAGAAAGAAAAAAGAAAGAAAGAAAGAAAGAAAGAAAGAAAGAAAGAAAGAAAGAAAAGAAAGAAACCAAATTCAATAACCTATGAATGTTGGGAGAAATCATATCCCAAAGAACTTGAAAGAGCCTCACTGCTCAAAAAGGATTTGGATTTAATATATCTTGAACAGCAATCATCCATTGTGAATGCTCTTGGAATTGCATGGATATGCTCAGTGGTGGGATTCAAATATGTGAACAACCAGTTCTCTGTGTGGATGCTGCTTCCGGAAATCCATTCTGGGCCTGGGCAACAAAAAATTAGCTACCCGTTCTGCTGAAGTGGTGCGAACCGGCTGAATCTCACCATTGGATGTGCTATTATGTTAAATTATAGTGTAGAGTGAGAGAAATTAAAATTAAGATTCAACCTATTGTCTTTTATGGACCTTTACGTGATCTGCTTGTTTATCAGAACAGAAATGACTAAAAAGCTTAGTTCTTTAGACCCATCACAGAGCACAAATTGGGAAGGCATAAATATACATTATGTTTTGAAGGTGAAAAGTCAGCCACAATGTAAATCATGAGAAATAAACAGTGCAGTTCTGCTTCTAAATGTATTGAAGGCAAAACAGTACCTTCAATGGAGATCTTCCAGCAGAAGAAAGAGAAACTGAGGTTATGTGTCGAGCTGGTGATGCTGTGGAGAAAATCATTTTCACATGAATTAACATAGTTTAGAATAAGAGGGCTGTGATGGCTTGATAGAAATGAACAACCTAGCCAAAATGAAAAATGTGTGTGAGAGAGGAGTGGGGAAGGAAAAAATGCATATGCATTTTACACTCAGATTTATAAAATACACATCTTATAATATGTTGATAAAAATGTAGATTGTAAAATTGCAACAGGATTAAAAACATGTGGACCTCAGATAGAAAACATAGAGCTTCCCATTAAACCAGTGACAGATAACCAGAAAAAAAAATATCCTGGACAAAATAAGCATGAAGCACTGAATCTGAAAATACTTTATAATAATAGAAATTTTATAAAAAGATAAACATGAACTGAGAGTATCCAGTAAAGTTAATATCTCTATTGGGGAATCTTGGTTAAGGTAAGTTCACTCTATTCACTTCTCTGTCATATAAATCTCAAGTAAGAAATAGTATAAGATAATAAAATGAATTATCAGACTAGGGCCAGATTGGTTTGAATTAACCACATAGTTAAAAAAAGGTACCTGTGGAAACTACTTCAGTACTGTAATATTTTAGAAGGTTGAAAATAGTAATTAGAGATTATATGTCCATCTTATCATAAAACTTAAAATACATATGTTTGGTAACCACTAAAATGTCTTTCCTGAAGATCAGAAGCTAGTAACAGAACTAAATTTAAAAGTGTCATTGGAAAATTAATCATTATAACGTCTTCTTATTTCTCTAAAGAAGCTTGGACCACCAGGCCTATTAAAAATTAAATTGTACTGGCTTTGCCACCCAATTGCTGAGATTCACAACAAAACAATAACATCCCAAAGTACTCCTCTCAATCTTTCCCTCAGTTTCCATGACAGGCAAAGCCAAAAGTATAGCAAAAGCAATAACATACTTATAATGAATGCCAGATCAACTATTTTCCAAATAAAACTGCACAATCTAGGGTTCCCAAATCCTTTCAAAGTTGCTTCCCAGAATTATCACAAAACTATAATTTTTAAATGTGGCAGAAAAGAAAGATACTGAAAATCTGAGAAATAATTAAATTCATTTTACTTAATCACTGCTTGAATTTTGTTGTGATTGTTTCTATTCCTATCATATTCACTGTTTGATTGCAGATCTCAGCAAGTCCCTCCAGTTTTGTTGACAAGTTTTCCGGAAGTGGCTTGACATTGCTTGCTTCCTGGGGCTAAGAGAGAGTGACTGGACCAAAGTCTCCCAGCTGGCTTTGTGCTTAAGGCAAGGCTAGAACTCAGTCTCCCAATTTCTAGTCTGGTTCCTTAACCATTACACCAAATTATCAGGTTGCTCATGGGCATGCAGAACTAAGGACCATTACAGACAAAGCTCCACACCGAAAGCTGTGCCATCTCTTTATTCCAGAATTCAGGAATATAACTTGCTTTGTTGTTTCAACATGAAACATTAATTGTCCTCCTCAATATTTGTTCCACTTGCAGTATTTTCTCCAAAATTAATTTTTCCTTTCTACAGTACCTCAATCCTCCTTGTTGGTTTCCTGTTCCTGTTCTAAAATCATCTGGTATTCTTCTGGTATGTAATAGGAAGCCAAAATCACATCCAAGCAGGATCCAGGGTTAGTTACAATGTGTGTAGAGCTACCGTAGTTGTATTAAAAAAAGAAGACTCATGAAATACAAACATACCAGTGGGACGGGGTGGCACAGGAGGAAACATGAGCTTTCCACTCTCTGATATGTTTTTGGCTTCTTTCCCACTTTCCAGGCTCCAACTACTGGGAGTGCTATTTACAGCTGTTAAGTCATGACAATATAGATATTAATTGTTAAAACTTTTGAGAATTAACATAAATATCAGAAATATATGCAGCATATTTGAGATCACTTAATATATGTTTGGTATCTGAGATACAATATCAATTGTGGCATTAATGGTGAACATAGAAATTATTACATGAATAAATACTGCTTTACATTTGGTTGTTAACTGTCTTTTGTACTTTAGAAAAAGATAAGGTAGAATATTAAAATAAATGATGCTTACCTTTCTCAGAGGCAGACAAAATAGGGTCACTTCGAGGCAAAGCGCCATCACCATTATGATTGAACACAATTCTCTAAAAATCCAGAATAGTGTTTTTTTAATGATAGTTAATTTGAGTTACAGGTATAGAAACAACAAAACATTAGCTATTTCAGCAGAAATGTCTCTTCAAAAGAAAAAATACAAGAGAGAGAGTCCCATTAGACATAGGAAATGAAATGCTTTAAGAGGACTGATATTCATTCAACTTCAACTGCAAAAATACAGAGACTTTAAAGATGGGTACTGCTGAAAAAAAATCTCCTTTTTCCCTTCCTTCCAGAGGATTGAATCTGGATATATCCTGATTTACAAGTCAGGCAGCCATACATGACTCAAAGTAAAATGATTTTTTTCTAAGTGCTCAACAAAACCTGATACTCCCTTTGACAGCTTATAGCAAGAGTCATACTGCAGTTAATTAATTTTACTAACTTCTTTTAAAAATTGTTTCATAGATATATCTGAAAAACAAATTACCAATTTACAGTGAGGGAAAAATGTATTTGATCCCCTGCTGATTTTGTACGTTTGCCCACTGACAAAGAAATGATCAGTCTATAATTTTAATGGTAGGCTTATTTTAACAGTGAGAGACAGAATAACAACAAAAAAATCCAGAAAAACGCATTTCAAACCAATTATAAATTGATTTGGATCTTAATGAGTGAAATAAGTATTTGACCCCTTCGCAAAACATGACTTAGTACTTAATGGCAAAACCCTTGTTGGCAATCACAGAGGTCAAATGTTCCTTGTAGTTGGCCACAGGGTTTGCACACATCTCAGGAGGGATTTTGTCCCACTCCTCTTTGCAGATCCTCTCCAAGTCATTAAGGTTTCAAGGCTGACGTTTGGCAGCTCGAACCTTCAGCTTCCTCCACAGATTTTCTATGGGATTAAGGTCTGGAGACAGGCTAGGCCACTCCAGGACCTTAATGTGCTTCTTTTTGAGCCACTCCTTCGTTGCCCTGGACGTGTGTTTTGGGTCATTGCCATGCTGGAATATCCATCCATGACCCACTTTCAATGCCCTGGCTGAGGGAAGGAAGTTCTCACCCAAGATTTGACGGTACATGGCCCCGTTCATCGTCCCTTTGATGCAGTGAAGTTGTCCTGTCCTCTTAAGCAGAAAAACACCCCCAAAGCATAATGTTTCCACCTCCATGTTTGATGGTGAGGATGGTATTTTTTGGGTCACAGGCAGTATTCCTGCTCCTCCTAACACGGCGATTTGAGTTATGCCAAAGAGCTCGATTTTGCTCTCATCTGACCACAACACTTTCACCCAGTTCTCTGAATCATTCAGATGTTCATTGGCAAACTGTACATGTGCTTTCTTGAGCAGGGGGATCTTGTGGGCACTGCAGGATTTCAGTCCTTCATGGCGTAGTATGTTACCAATTGTTTTCTTGGTGACTATGGTCCCAGCTGCCTTGAGATCATTGACAAGATCCTCCCATGTAGTTCTGGGATGATTCCTTACCGTTCTCATGATTATTGGAACTCCGCAAGGTGAGATCTTTCATTGAGCCCCAGACCAAGGGAGATTGACAGTTATTTTGTGTTTCTTCCATTTGCGAATAACCACACCAACTGTTGTCACCTTCTCATCAAGCTGCTTGGCAATAGTCTTGTAGCCTATTCCAGCCTTGTCCTTAGATAGCTCTTTGGTCTTGGCCATGATGGAGAGTTTGGAATCTGATTAATTGCTTTTGTGTACAGGTGTCTTTTATACAGGTAACAAGCTGAGATTAGGAGTACTCCCTTTAAGAGAGTGCTCCTAATCTCCTCTTGTTACCTGTATAAACCTGGGAGCCAGAAATATTGCTGATTGATAGGGGATCAAATACTTATTTCACTCATTAAAATGCAAATCAATTTATAACTTTTTTGAAATGCGTTATTCTGTTTCTCACTGGTAAAATAAACCTACCATTAAAATTATAAACTGATAATTTCTTTGTCAGTGGGCAAATGTACAAAATCAGCAAGGGATCAATTACTTTTTTCCCTCACTGTAAGCCAAGTTTATTAAGGAAACTAAACATTTGCATGTGCTAAAAAATAAAATTTAGCAGAAAGAAGAAGAATGCTGAGAGAATACTGTAAATTCATTGGTTGCATATGCTAAACTATCCACCTAGGACTCTAACTATCAATATAATTACTCAGAGTTGATAAATCATATGCAACATTCACAAGAATATAATGTAACAAGACTTCCGGTGGCAGGC